CAGTTTCTGATAGAACAAACAACAAAGCAAAACAAAATACATCTCCAGCAGACACAATGGGATCTTTAAGATACATACTCGTTCGTACGACAGCGGAAACTTCAGTAAAAACAATAACAAAAGATGCCAGCCAAGCGATTACGGGCAATTTAATGAAGTGGCATGGCGACGGGGGGATGAGTGGGATGGTGAGGTGGTGGGGGAAGGTAACGTCTTTATACGCATTTATACGTTCATAAGCTACAACTGCCCCCCCCCCCCCCCTTCCTCACAGCTCCATCCCTCCTTCAGTCAACTGCAAGTGCAGTCCGGTAACAAGCTCAGCGACTCACTTGGGAGCCCAGTCAAGATGTTATCTAAAAAAGCTCCAACGTCAGCCTCTAGAACAGAAACTGAAACTGAAACTGAAACAGACTCTGAAACAACTGAACAGTTGGCTAGTTAATTTTTTAATGAATCTCGGCAGATATTCGAAATCGGTTTGCTGTCGGTCTCTCGACTTGCGTTTGCGATATTTTTTTAGTCGTTTGTCGGCGGGTTTTAAGTGCGCACATAAGACGCGCTTCAGTCTATCTGAAAAGCATTCAACAAGTTCGCCTGAAAACTCCCCCAAGTCAAGTCGTCGAGTTGCGAGTGCCCGAAGTGCAAAGAGCAGCCAAAATATCCCAACTTGTTCAGTTGCTTGTGTGAAATGCTCCCGAGATCCGTGGCCTATTTGGCAGTGCTCTGCTGCTTTCTGTTGACTCATCGTTGCGCCCAAGGTTGTTCAGCAAATTGAGATTCGACTCGTAATTGTCTATTTAGTAATTAGTCACTTGTCATTATTTTGAACATGATTTCAATCTCAGCACGCCCACCCCAGCGCGGACTTGGGCTTTTCCAGTTCTTTGGGAATTTTCGTTGATCTAATGCCAGAAACATAATAACAAAACATTTCAACCAAAATTTACCCAATGAGGTGAAAGAACTTATCATGAATTATACTAGCAAAGACCACTGAGATGAGTTAAAGATTCGACGAAAAAGTTTCAGCTATTGGCATCTAGTTGATTATGTTTGTTCAGAATATAGTTTTCCAAGCCAATTTCTATATTGATTAAAAATGTATATTGTTTTGCAAAGAAATTTTTATAAAAGATTACCTCAAATTAATTATAATTAATATTTCATTATTAATGAAATATTCATTGAAATGATTTAAAGAATATTAGAAAACATTTCAGTTATTGGCATAATACGAAATGCATTTTTTTAATTCAAAATATAGGCTTTCGATCAAATTCCTTGTGTTAAATAATAATTTAATGTAGATATTTTTGTCTATGTCGAATTCTTTGGAAATTCCTTACCGTTGAGTCTTAATATATCGTTCCCCGTTAAATCGAGAATCGCAATAAATCAAACAAATTATATTCCCTTAAAAAAAATTCGTTTTCAATAATTCTCGATAATTTGAATTTCTGTGTAAATCGAAAAATATAAAAATCTAAACAAAAATCCCTTTGCCATTTCGAATTATTCAGCATGGTTAATATTAATCTTTTTATATTCATATTTTTGTTCATTAGTTTAAATGAATTTTTCACGATTAATATTTCATTCATTCAGATAATTAAAAGATTATTAGAAAATATTTCAATAAATGACATGATAATATAATGGAATTAGCAATGAATTTGGTTTATTCAGAATATAGTTTTCCAAATAGGGGCTTTGCTTAAAAAAATTTCGTCTTAATTTCAGTAAAATATTCCGTAGAAGTTTGTTATTTAATTTCCTAAACTTGTCTTAATTAAATAAAGCTTGTCAAAAAATTTAAAATTTATATATGCCATATAAAGTATATGTTCATACTCAATTTGGTTAATGACTCAAAGTACTTAAATTTTTGTTTTTTATTCGCTCTCTCACTCATTATTTTGATACCTCCTTTAGAGCCTTCATAAGACGTTGCTTCGTAAAGTATGCTGTTTTATATATATAGATCTTAATGATATTTGTACTGTAAAGACATTTATGTGAATGCTAAAGTAAACAATTTTATATCGCATATTTCTAGAAAGATAGAGCAAAGAAAACTCTATCAATCAAACTGAATCGAAATCCATAGATGCATAATAGTGAGAATGACATGACAGTCAAGTCAATGTGTTAACGGCTTTGCATTTAAGCCACCAAAAAATATTAAATCCCATTTCATATGTTAGCAAGAAATTTTAATATTCTTAGCTCAATATGTTACAAATATCTTATATAAATGATCTAATTCGGTACAATCTCAATCCATCTGTGATAGCGACCCATTTATAATCTACTTAGTTAGCTGAGCAAACATTGCATACTGAAATGCAATTAAAAGTGCTCAAAGTGCGCCTCGTCCACTCGAGAGGCAGTCAACTGTGTATGATTACGAACGTGAGTGAACGAGAGAGAGGGAGAGCGAGAGAAATATTCATAAATAAGTCAGCGTGAGCTAATTGCTCCACTTACAAATTCTCCCGCCGCGGGCAGCTTGAGATGCGCTCCAGTTCAGCTGATGCTCCTTTTTGGGCGTGGATAGGACTCGAGCGTGGGGGATTGGAAGTCGATGTGTTTGCATAACTTAAATGAAATTTCTCTGCTAAATCTAATTTCTATGCTAAACCGAAAACAAACAACGTTTGCTCCGTAACCAGGTCAGTCGACTAAAGTGTCATCCAAGCTGGATTTCGATGACATGGAAAGCGGCAGCAACAGCAACAACCAGACTGGTGTGCCAGTTATAATCGGGCAGGGACAGGGCCAGGGCCAGGGGCAGGGACAGGGACAACAGGGTAGCAATAGTGGCTATGATCCGAGCTCCGGACGCAGCAGCGGAGGCAACAGTGGCAATCGGCCAAAGATACACGGCGTGCGTGTTACAGTCGACACGGGCGATGGACAGCAGCAAACGAAAGGTAATTAAATTGGCTCAAAGCAAAGGGCAGATCAAATGAGACTTACACCGAAACGGACTACCCAAATAGAATCCAAGGAGAGCGTCGAAATAACGGATTTGGGTAAACACAAGAAACGTGTGGGCATTCACACAGACATCACGTTCGAGATTACGGCCGAGGGTGACGCAAATGAGACGAGCTCTGCCCAGCAGCCGGGCGAGAAGGGTAAGTGGACGCTTACATCACTTTCACTTTCGTCTTTCGCTGCAAGCGGATTCTCACTCACTCACTCTCCCTTGCCAGAGGATGCCAGCGTGCCCATTTACAAGGGTCGTTCGAGCAGCCGCGACTCCAAGCACAAGTCCAGGAATCCCAGTGATCCCAAGGCTCAATGGAATCCCAACTACTCCAGTGAGCATCGCGGCTACGAGGGCAGCAACCGCGGCGGCTCCAGATCCAGCTCGGGCGGCTACTATCCCCAGTATTATCCGCAGCATGTCTACACGACCGGCGATGACAGCAGCGGCGGCATTTACCGTAACGGCGAGACCTGGACGCACTACGTCCCAGTGTGGACTACGGAACGTTCGCCCCATGAACAGAGTCAGCTGCAGCGACAGCCTAGCTGGAAGCCCTGCTACTGCATGTCGTCCTATGGCAACGACTATCGCAGCCGTCGCGATAGCAAGATCAGCAGGAAAGGGGATTTCCCCAGCAGGGGAGTGGTCAAAACTCGTCCAGTGCACATCGATGGCAAGCTGGAGCGGCCCTTCTCCTGAAAGGTTCACTTTGAACATATTCACAATGCTCGAGAAGTTGCTAAATAAAGGAAACAGATTTTAATCAATGTCTTTTAATATTAGTATACCCTAGGTTACGCATAACCTACCTATAATATGTAGTTATGTATAGAATATATATACAATACATAAACAAAATGGGTGTAAGCGCTCAAAAAAAAAAAAAAAATGTGGACAATATAAAATGGTTAGTCTTTGTCCTAATTACTTGGTATTTCCCGCGCCTACCCCATAACCCATTGCTATTACGACTACATAATACTCATTAACAGTCAAAACTTGATTCTTGGAAATGATTCAGGAACCCTTCTGCAATATCTACCCCTATTATTATTAGGATATCATCGGGAGTATATTATATTTTGATTTCCAAATCTCTAGTACTTTTAGTATTGTAGTATCAATTCTTGTATACCAAATTTATGTAATATTTCCCGATTTTTATACCCTGAACCCATTTTCAATGGGAAATCAGGGTATAATGTTTAATGTTAAATGTTTGTAACAAGCAAACAGAAGGACGCGTGGCAGACCCCATAAGGTATATATGTATATTCTTGATCAGGGCGACGAGCTGAGTTGATTTAGCCCTGTCCGTCTGTCCGTCCGTCCGTCTGTCCGTATGTTTGAACGCGTTGATCTCAGAAGATATAAGAGCTAGAGACTTGAAATTTTTCCCAAGGTCCGTGTATAGCGAGTTTTGTTTTAAATATCGATAACTTGTGCCGTTATTTTGTTATCGATTAAACACATTATAGAAAGCCAGTCATAGATTTATATCTGCTACATCTTTAAAGCTAGACTCTCCAAATTTTTTATGTATACTTATATGCATTTTATACAATTTCACCATCACATTTGGAAATGGCGTATTTCAAATAGTAGGGACTTGGGCGAATAATTATTGAAATATCAGTTGCTCTAAGGGTTCATGGGATCTCGTAGTGGAGCAGTCTCGACTAGAGCTTTCTTACTTGCTCAACTTTGTATTATTAAATATTCTTCCATCGAATATATCTAGATTATGCTCCCAGCATCTTATATTTTAGTCATCCCGATCAAGTTAGTTTGGATCTCAGGAGCTCAACGACAAGATACCCTCTGCCTATTCAGCACTTGAATACACACAAAAATGTATTCGAGAATTAACTATTGAAATTGCCTTTGTCAGAAGGGAAGGAGTACGAGATACCCCCTGCCGATAATGTGTCGCATAAATCAAATGCAAATAAAAATCTCTCATGGTAATATTTTAAATTTTCGTTCTTTTTATTTTTAACAATTTTTGATACTACTGTTCATGGTGAGGCAGAGAGATAGAGAGATGAGGCGAGGGAGGCGAGTTACATCTTACGAGTGCACACTGTAGGTGCTCACTTTGCCATTGTCGTCGACGGAGGCGGTGGCTGCATTGTAGCCGAACTGCTTGCCATTCACATTGTAGTTCTCGCTCTCGCCGGTGGCCAGATCCTTGTAGTTCTTCACATGTCCATTGGAGTCAAACTGTGGAATCAAAGAGCAAAGAGTGAGGTTTGCATATGGATGCAGGTGACTGATTTGCGATTACCTCGGATTGGGATGACCACTTGGACTGCTTCTCCCACTGCTTGGTCTGGAAGCCGCTGTTGCCACCGACGCCAGCACCAAAGTTTCCAGAGCCGGCCAATTGCTGGCCGCTAGTCAGGCCGGAGGACAGACCCAGGCCAAAGTTGTTTTGGGCATTCAGCTGGCTGTTGCTGGAGGAGCCGCCCAGGAGGGAGCCGCCCAGCAATGAGCCATGGCTGCCGCCCAGCAGGGAACCGCTCAAGAGCGAGCCGCTGGCGCCGGCATTCAGAGCGCTGGCCGAGTTCAGGGAGCTGGCCGCATTCAAAGAGCTGGCAGAGTTCAGGGAGCTCGCCGAGTTGAAGCCGAAGTTGGAATTGAAGCCGTTGGAGCCGCCGTACTGCACCTGATTGGCGTTGGCCAGGCCGGCACCGCTGCTGATCGAGCTGCCGCTGGCTGCCTGCTGCTTGGCCGTCTGGTGGGCCTGGTTGATGAGCTGCTGCAGCTGGGAGCTGCCGGCGCCGAAGCTGGAGCCGGAGGTCTGGCCGGCGGACAAGAGCGACTGGGCGCCGAAGTTGCTGCCGAAGCCGAGGTTCTGGTTGACCTTGAAGGCGGAGTTGGTGCCGAAGCTGGAGCCGGTCTTTGAGCCGTAGGTGAAGCTAGCCGAAGGCTGCTGGACGATCTGTGGCGCCGAGGCGGTGGTCGTCACCTTGCGCTGGTAGTAGTGCTCGGAGGTGCCAGCGGGCTGGGCGACCTGGATGTACTGGACTGCGGGCTTCTGCTCCACCACGCGCTCCACGTGCTGCACGTACTTCTGGGAGCCGCCGGGCACCGTGTAGACCACCTGCTGCGGTGCGCTGGACACGACGCGCTCGTGGTGCAAGTACTCCACATTTCCGCCACTGGCGACAGGCGCTGAAATGGCCAAAGGTGCCTGCAGATTGCCGGAGAGCAGCGACTCGGAGTTGGTAGCTCCGACACCGCCGAAGTTGACCTCAGTGCCGGCATTGTTGGCATCCGCGAACTCCACGTTGCTGCCGACACTGTGAGCGGTGGCCGCGTTGAAGTTGGCGCTGTGGCTCGTCTGGAAGGCGGAGTTCGAGGAGAAGGCGCTGTTCGAGCCGAACGAAGCCGCGTTCTGTGCACCAAAAGCGGCCGCATTGTTGGCACCAAAGCCAGCTGCGCCTCCTAAGCTGGCGCCTAGGCTGCCACTGCCGCTGCCGCTGCTGCTGCTTTCCGCACCCTCGACGGCACCCACCGAGTCGTAGGAGCTCTCCAGGCTGCCCAACGAGGCACCCACGCCGCAGCTGGCGCAGCCGCCGCCTACTGCCAGATCCGCACTGCTTCCTACTCCCAAGCTGCCACTCGAGCCGTAGGCCTTCCTGCGCGCCGCTTCGATTGCCTGCTGATGGGCGGTGTAGTGGCTGTGGGTGTAAGTCTAATTAGATTGCAGCTCCGTCTAATTGGATGAAGATTATGCAACAACTCTGTGCACGCATAATATTCAATTTTGTTCAGCTTCTAAATAGATTAGTGTGCTTTTCCTAAATTTCTTGAATTTTGAGTGGGTTAGTACCATGTTGCCAATTGGAAGTTTCAATTTTAGCCGAGCATAAAATGAGATCTTCAATTACGCCGCACGGCACTTACCGACTGTGGAAATCGTCCCGTTTGCTTCTAGACATTCGTTACCAAAATAAAAGTTATTCCAAAGGACAGTCTCTCAAGTGAGATCAACTTACCTGTTCTCAAAATCTATAAGAGAATTAGAAGAAAGAAAAGGCATTATTCTCATTGCATTTCCATGAAATTGATTGTAATTCTAATTGGGAAACTCGAGTCTCTTATCTCGACACATGGCTGCAACGAGGCGTTGCACAATTCCGTGTTGTGTAAAAAGTTCATACAGAAATAATGCGTAATCGTGTCATACGTCAGCCGGAACACAGACGGAGAGAGAGAGGAAGAATATTCCCGCATGATATGTTGTAAGGATCTTTTTTGCTTTCTGATTTATTCTTTCACTTTTAATTTCACTGTATGGGAGGGGGGCTAAAGGAGCTCTTTACCTGCACAGACCACGCCCAGGCACAGAGCCAGCACCAATATAGATCTCATATTGAGTTTGTTTTTAGTTCTTTGGAAATTGTTTCACACTGCGTTAAACCGTGCGAGACCCGCGCCTGAATTTCTACTAATGAACAGCGGCGATGGGAACGCGCTTTAAAAACCAAACAAGTCGCCCAGACACCCATTGATAACGCCGAGCTCCACTCGGAATTAAGGCAGATCGCTTCTTGACCTAGAGAGCTTGCCATTGGGCAGCACAGATAATGTGTGCCTATGTACACTTAAGCTATATATGGATTCTACAAATTATAATCGGAATTGGTGCAGAAATTTTTAATATTATTTATTTAAATCAGTGATGAAAGTAATTGCGACACAAACACACACACACACACACACATACACATACACACATCCACAGACAGCTGATAGGAATTGTTTTCGTGTCGAAACCTTGAAATCTATATACAGAGTTGCCATGTACAGTTGTGTTCTAATACATGCACAGACTTCTATACCTATATAGACTGTCTCTATATTCAAGTACAGGCCATTGATTAAACCACTTTGGCATTAGAGCATTGACCATGTGTGTATTTACTTACTATTACTAATGCTCTCTGTGCGAGGTGAAGGAATCTACAATCATCGAAACTGATGCGTCTTCGAGTTGTATTTGTATATTTGTATCCTCTGTTATTTGTATTCGTTGAGAATGGATATATATAAGAATTTACAGATTATTTTATATAAGATGAGCAATTTCTCTAATCTTAGTTATTAAATCTTATTCAGGATCAAGTACTAAGGTAATAATCCTAAAAATTCTTTGGAAGAAACGTAACAACTAAGCTATTACCAATGTTTCTATTCTACAGTGTTGCCAAATCAGCTTTTTTGCGGGAAAATTCCAAAACAGCGTGCAAAGGGAATTCTGGATTTTTCAAAAAATATTTTGCTTTTTTCCGTTTTTTCTTTACTGACCAATTTATTATATATTATAATAGTGAAGTTTTTGTTTCTATATAAATAAAACGTTAAAATTGTCTAACAGAGCCTATAAAGCAATTAAAAAGAATGTGTGCAACTCATTTGATAGCATGTAGTAAAAACATTGATGTGTTAACTAAATATGTTTTAATTAATAGATTGCCGGAAAATTTTCTAACAGTGGAAAATGTCGATTCGTTTTCTTGCATATGTATATACATATTTTATATATATATATGTATAAATTGTAATACAATCGCAGATTGCTTAGATGAAACCGATGAAGAAGATGAAACATATAGATGTTTGTCGCATGCAATACTTTTTATCACATACATATGTATACTTTAATCTCATACTGAAAAAAAATTATTTATATGAATTTTTGGCTTAAGTTTAGGTTTAAAAGCAAATAAAAAAAAATTTACTTTTTTTTACAAATAAACAAGGATTTTTTCACGTCCTATGTTGAACTTACATTGCCTTGCACCAAAAACATGACGCGCGAAAAGATCGTATGTTTAAGTAAATTGCTGTTGTAAAAAAAAAAATAGGCCATAATTAAAATAATAAAATTAATATGCGTTCGTTATTACTATAGAATAAGAACTTATATTTTGAGAAAATTAAAAAAGCATCTCCTGTAAAATTACATTTTTCGACATACGATAATTTCGCGGGGATTGGACGATATGTATATACTGTGAAAAGATATCCATTTGTAACATAAAGATGAAGGCGAGATCTATCTAAATTTCAATGTTTATCAGATGTGAGATAGATTCCTATGCAGATAATTTACATACATTCAACATCCGACAGTGCCCGTTCATCTAATCTGATTGACATTGTTATTTAGAACTGATTTTATTCTTTTTTTTTTTTTAGTTTTTGGCTAAGCCCCAAAAAATTCAATAATGATCCAACAATTAACACCAAAGTTTAGAACTGTGAGTGAAATTAGCATAGCCGCTGTCTATGAGCTATTGATAGATATAAATATATACAAGCATACATAGTATATATGCAATGAAATAAATAAATTGTTTCAAGCAGTTAAGATACGATGAGAATCCACCTATCTGTATTGGGTCTACATGGATCTTTGACTGTATGCATATCATATATTTCTATGAGGCAGTGGAATATGCAAATCAGACTCTCAAGTATGCTCATCAGCTGATTTATTCAGCGAGTGGATATTTTTGGGTAATTTGTTTACAAATGTGAAATGTCATAAAATGTCAAATCTAAACTGTAAACACTTTCTGATGATTTAAAAAATTATTAAACAATTTCGGTTAGTGGGATTTCATTCCGCTTGGGATACTTTTGCGCATTTGTTTTGAATCGAAATTTCAATGGCACTTCCCGGAATCAGTTTTCGGTTGATTTGTAAATAAAAAATCAAAAATAATGTAAGTTGTTTACAAACAAAAGCTTCAGCTTTATTGCTTCCGCTAAATGCTAATCAGAACAGTTCCAAGCGATTGTCACTTGAATAACATCTTCCCAATTGGACTGGCTACACGCTACAGTCTACTCTAAACGCCAATTGGAATTTTGAAAGATTCTGGTTTCAATTTCCATCAACTCGAATATTCACTTCGACTAGTGCAGCCAGAAAGGGGCACCTATATATATATATATATATCTATAGATAGTACTTGTATATGATCTGAACGATTTGACTTGATGCCATAAATTAAGTTCATAATGAGACAAATTCATAACCTACACACAGACAATTTCCTGTGGGGCCTGATAAACTTTGCTCAGGTTATTATCAGCCCGAGTTTTACCACTTATATACATAGAGCATACAATATCAAGGTCATGAGCTTTTAGCGAGCAGGAATAAAATAAATTCAATTTATAAATAAAAACAAAATGAGATAGAAATTTGCATATGATTGCCTATGCAAACGGAGGGGAATTATCAGTAGAAAGCTAAAAGAAACAAAACTTTCTAACAAACCTGTTACAGTGAGGCAGCCCTAAATGGAAAGCCCGACAGATCACATAATATAGACAAAAACGGATTTAATTCATTTATAGAAAGGTAAAAGGAATATGAAATTGTTGAATAAGCAAAGTTGACACAGTAAAGCTTAACTAAGAGAGAAACTGAAGTAAATTGAATTGGAGTAAATTATTACAGTAAAAACCCCTTTACATATACCTATGTATGACACATATGTACAATAATTTATGTATATTTGGGTTTTTGCTTTCAATACAGATTATATACAGATTCCCCCTTGATGAATATACATATATATTTGGATTATATATATAGAATGTGTGTATTTGTGTCTCAAAACATATAAATAGAGAATGATTAGCTTTCGTTAGGTTTATATCATATATATGTTATGCTAAACACCAGGAGTTGCGTTAAGTCGCGTTTGGGTCCACCCTAAGAGTGCACCGAGTACGACGTCACCTTGCCGTTGTCGTTGACGGTGGTCTGTGCACCACGGCGACTGGTGCCGTCGCCGTTGCTGCTGCTGTACGAGGAGACAGAGACGCCCTTGTAGCCACCACCGCCGCTGCTGGATCCGCCGAACCGGTTCACGATATTGGGCGATGCCTGTAATAGCAATGGAATGGCTTGAATTATGCTCTTCTAGTCAACTCTCAATCCGTTCGCTTACCGGATTAGCCGGACTGATGTAGGCCGTTTGCCTGTGTCCATTGGCGCCGATGGTGCCAGAGGCCAGGGCATAGCTGGGCGCATAGCGGTGCGAGTTGGAGCCGCCTCGGTAGCTATTCTGGCGCACCAGGTTGTCGTGGTAGGCCTGCTGGGCGGCGATCTGCTGCTGGATGCGACTGTCAAGCACAAAGCACAAGGATTTCAGTTAGCTACTGCGTCACCCACGATCTCGGCGTGCGGGTTAGTGGTTAGTAGGGGGAGAAGTTAGTACTAGGAAAGCAGTGTAATTACGTGTCATCATCGCTTATGGTCGCATCCGCAGATGCGTACGCATTGCCGGACGTGGCCAGTCCCGTTATAGCTCTACAAGAATAGATTACAAGCGCTGTTAGCCTCCCCATCCACCAATGCCCACTTAGACTACCCCAGCAGAAACCCCCTCCACAATAAAGAAATTTGCCTAGACCAAATGCTCACTGTTGGGTTGCATAGTTCTGGGCCAGAATCTGGTTGGTCAGCTGCTGGTGGAACAGGTAGGGATCCGTGATGCCAACGTTGGGCGCGTAGCCGTAGTCATCGTAGTCATCGTAGGTGCCCGTGTAGCCACCCGCCCCGCCCCCGCTGCTGGCGTAGCCACCTGCATATCCATCGGCGTAGCCTCGCCGACGGCGCGACACCTTGCGAGCTGCAATAGAAAATCAAATTGGGATTAGAGAACGATCAAGACTACCAATTAATGAACACCTAATGAATCCCTGCCAGCTGATGCGAGTGCTTCAGGCCATATTAAGTACCTCTATTCCTAATACCAATGGATCACTAATCAATCGACATTTCGTTAGCTTCACATTACAGCATTAATTAGTCGATGATGAATTGGTGGTGCTGCTGTTGCTTATAAGATCCGGCTCAAAGTCAACGTCTTTTATTTTACTAGTCCAATGCCCAAAACTAATTATTGTTATTAGTTAATTAAATTTTTAAATATCTCATTAATCAAACAAAAATGTATATGCAAATAATTATAATCAAATAGGATGAAAATTACATTAATTAAGAAATTTAATTTAATTTTAAAATTATTACTATTTTCATAATTATTTAAGTGAAAATAAAATGGCTAAAGAGTAAGGATAAAATAAAAAATTGTCTTTATATTTATTAGAATATAGCACTTCACACCCAAATGGAACAATTAGTTTTACAATGAAGACATATGCAGAAAAGGCAATATAGTAAAAATAAAGTAAAATGCTCATCTATCTACCACTCAACACATCATAGATATATTTTATATAAATAATCATATTTTTTTGTT